GCACTGTCAGCACAGAGCCTGATGCAGGGCTCAGTCTCAGGAACTGTGAGATCAAGACCTGAGCCCAAACCAAGAGTCGGACACTTAACCAACTGAGCCACCCAGGCACCCCATGTAAATCTGCATCTTCAACAGGATCCCCAGCCAGTTCTTAAGTTTTTAAAGTTTGGTGGACCAGGGCTGCAGGCACGGATATTCACATTGCCCATTCCCAGTGACCCTGTGGGACAGCAGTGGGTCGTAGTTGTGGGAGGTGGGGAGTGGCAGTTTCCAGGGTAGTCAGAGGCCTGAAGCTGTGCCCTGCCCTCTGGGCCTCCTCCCTCAGCCTCGATCAAGTACACTTCTGCTTTTACCTGTTTTACACACCAACATGCCTCAGATTTTTTCATCAAAGGTTTCTATTGCTAAAAACAAGTCTGACAATCACTGAAGTAGGGCATGGAAAATAGGATCAGAAGACCTGGGAGCTGGTGCCTGTCTTGGCTCCTGCCATGAGGGTCTTTGTGTTAGTAGATAAGCCTCATCCCTTTGTCTGTAACAGGGTTACAAAGCTGGGTCTACCTTAACAGATGGCCAGAGGGATCAAATTCAATAACACTAAGCATAAGGAACTAGGGATGAATATTAACGTTCATTATTATCACTAGGGACAGCATATGATTAGGCGTAAGAGTGGGTGTATCTCGGGGCGTCTGGGTGACTCAGTCGGTTAAGCTTCCGACTTCCGCTCAAGTCATGATCTCACAGTTCATGAGTTTGGGCCCCGCGTCGGGCTCTGGGCTGACAGCTCAGAGCCTGGAGCCTGCTTTGGATTCTGTGTCTCCTCTCTCTCCACCCTTCCCTTGCTTGCACTTGGTCTCTCTCTCTCTCTCAAAAGTAAATAAACATTAAAATAATTTCTTTCAGAAAAGAGTGGGTATATCTTACCTCGTCAAGGGGTGGGACAGAACTCATCTTTAGAATTTGGGCTTGCCCAGCACAAGATCACACTCGAACGAACATTCCAACTTCGGAAGAAGGAAGAGGAGGAGCGAGAGGGCAATGACTCACCGACACAAATGCTTGAGATTTGGTGTCGTTCAGCTGAAGCTGCAATTTCTTTTCGTTGTCATAGACTCCGTAGAGCCTCTTGGACCAGGTCTGAGGCACTCTGCTCTTGAATTTTAATGAGCTATACAGAGCGAATATCCTCTGTAAATCCAGGACCAGGCAGCTGCAGTTGTAGAAGATGACACCGAGTTCTTTCATCTGTGAAATTAAAATAGAAAAAGCATCGGTGCCATGTACGACGGGTGGCGCTATTTTCAGAGAACAAATATGCACAAGAATGCAGTTGTAGTGACTCCTTCTCTCACTGCTGTTATACAGAAGTGTGCAGATACAGGCATGTTACGGTGTCTGGAGGGGATACGGTATAAAAATGCTTCAAGATTTCAGGAGAACTTTGGCTTGCGTTTTTGCATTTGGGGTCTTATAGATAAGTTTTCCATATTCACTTCCATTTTTACATCAGCTCTTCAGATTCATTCCTTAAAACACTTTCTCGTCCGAATCCTTAAATCGTGCGGCGGTACCCAGGTTTTCATGGCAGCATCGTGGAACGGTTGACATCCTGGATTCTGAAGTCAGACTGCCTGGAATTAGGCTCCAGTTCCACAGCTTTCTAGCTGTGTGACTTTGGGCAAGACTCACCATCTCCGGGCCTCAGTTTCCTTCTTCCCTAAAACTGGGTTAATAGTGTTTATTGTACAGAGGTGCTGTGATGCTTAAAATGGTCAGTACCATTAAAGGGCTCAGAAGAGTGTCCATGACTTGTAACTCACTAAAAATAGGTTAACAATTGTTAGTTACTCTTACTAACACTGCACAAGCCTCAGGAGGAACACCCCAATACACCCTTGCAACGAAGGGACCAGAGGGGAAAGGGAAGCTCAGGAGGGTAAGCAAAAACACTTGCCCCAAGTGAGAGACCTTATCAGCAAGAGATTGAGAATTTAAATTCAGGTTTCTGACCCTTGATCCAATACACCCAGGAACATAGCAGGACTGGCTTCATCTGAGTCTAGGATCACTTTGTAAGAGTTACAGATGATTTCCAATTTAGTCAATGAAAGTGACAAAGTAAAATCGGGGTCATAAAAGACAGCACAAAGACACATGCCCAGGGAGGGCAGTGCTAGGGACGCCTGGGCCCTTTAGAGACCTGAGTCTGACTCCCCTGCTATGTCTTCCTCTAGCTCCCCAGTGAGGACTCTACTCAGGATTACAGAAGACGTCACCTAGGACTCCCTAATACAGTATGTCATGGAGGTATTTCCCCGTTCATCTATACCCCCCTGGAGTTGTTCCACCAGCTCCAAAGTGACTACAGAATAGATGCACACACATTATTTAATCTGCTGATGGACTTGTCCCTCTTTTTTCTCTAGTGCAAAAAATAAAGCAATGGGTGTCCTTATACACATATCTTTGTGCACCTGTGGAAGTATTTCCCCAGTATAGATTCCTAGAATTGGATGGACAAGCAGAAGGACAATTAGAGGCTAAGAAAGTGGGAGGAGATGGGGCGCTTAGGTGGTTCAGTCACTTAAGCATTGGCTCAGGTCATGATCTCGCGGTTCATGAGCTCAAGTCCTGCATCAGGCTCCATGCTGGGCCTGCTGGGATTCTCTCTCTCTCCCCATCCCTCTCTGCCCCTTCCACATTTGCTCTCTCTCTCTCTCAAAACAAATAAATAAACTTTAAAAAAAAAAGTGGATGGAGATAGGGCAGGGTGGGTGTATCAGGCATGTGCAAAGGCACTGAGGCTGGTGGGGATACAATCAGAGCTGTGTGGCTAAAGCTGAACGAGCTAGGAGAGAACATGTATGTGTGTGAGCGTGTAGACATTTTTTGTTTAAATTTATTTATTTATTTGAGAGACAGAGAGAGAGAGAGCGTGCACATGAGCAGGGGAGGGGCAGAGAGGAGAGAGAGAGAATCCCAAGCAAATCCCAGAGAATTTTGCACTGCCAGCGTGGAGCCTGGTGCAGGGCTGTGAGACCTGTGAAACCATGACCTGAGGCCAAACCAAGAGCCAGAGGGAAGCTTAACGGACTGAGCCACCCAAGCGTGCCGAGATATTTTTTTCTGATGGCAGAGGGTAACACTGTAGGGACAGGGGTGGCAGATCCTCAGGGGCCTTTGAGCTGGGATAAATAGCTTGGCATTTATGCTGAAGATCCTGGGGAAGCAGGCAAGGAGGGTCGGGGTGTGAATTGAAAAGGGCCGTTTGGCTGTGCTGTGGAGACAGGAGACAGGGTGAGGGAGCTAGGGTACAATATTCAGCCCCAGGCCTTGGCGGTAGGAGGCAGAAAGGTTTACCTGTTCTTAGGTGTTTTCCAATCTCAGAGGCTTCAAAAAATTGTCTAGAGTAGCTGCTAATGATGGCTAATCTTGTGCCAGGTTGAGGACGAGCCCACCCAGCTGTTTGCCCACAGGGTCTCTGGAACATTCGGCTCTGCATCTGACCCTCACGCTCTTGTACCTTTTTGGGTTAGAGCAACACTGCCACCTTATCTTCTCCTGGGGAGCCTTTTGCATTTCACATTGTTCTAGTTCAGCAGGTATAATACCCAGGCTCTTTGTCTGGGGTGGCCGTCGGTCGGAGAATCCGAGATCTGCCTCCCGTGTGGGTAAGGAGCTGTCCTCAGGACCAGGGCCTCCCTGACATGCTTCTTCGTCTGCCAGACTCAGGCAAGGTTAGTGCACATCCAGGGGGCCCAAATTCTCTGGTGGGGTTTGGCTCATAAAGTCAGCCTTGCCCCTCCGGGTTCAAGACATCAATTTCCTGCCCATCTTCATCCCCTGTAGCACTGCCTGCCCATCCCGCCAAGGCTGCCTGGAGAAGAAGGACTTGTGCTGTGTGTCAGGATGAGCTCCCCTCAGTATCTGCAGGATTGTGGCTGGTGACCCTCCCTGGTTTTAAATTCGGTGGAGGCCCATTTGCATCTTAATCCTGCAACTTGCTTGTTGACTAGCCTTGGGCAAATTACTTAATTCTTTTTTTTTTTTTTAATTTTTTTTCAACATTTATTTATTTTTGGGACAGAGAGAGACAGAGCATGAACAGGGGAGGGGCAGAGAGAGAGGGAGACACACAATCGGAAACAGGCTCCAGGCTCTGAGCCATCAGCCCAGAGCCCGACGCGGGGCTCGAACTCACGGACCGCGAGAATCGTGACCTGGCTGAAGTCGGACGCTTAACCGACTGCGCCACCCAGGCGCCCCAAATCACTTAATTCTTAAATTTCAGTTTATTGTTCAATGAGGACAATATGGGTCTCCCAAGGTATGCAGTTAGAATAATATAATTTTGATAGCTAGTGTTGATGGAGTGCTTAGTTGGTGTGTGTACTGGGTTGAATAGTGCTCCCTCCCCCCAAATTCATTTCCGCCCGGAACCTGTGAATGTGACCTTCTTGGGAAATGCGGTCTTTGCAGATGCAATCAAGATGAAGTCATACTGAATTATGGTGGGTCCTAAATCTAGTATGACTGGTGTCCTTATAAAAAAAGGAAAATTCAGGCAGACGCACAGGGGGAGGGCTATGTGAAGATGGAGATTGGAGTAACACACCTACAAGCCAAGGAACACAAAGCATTACCAGCAACAGCCAGAAGCTAGAAGGAGGTGAGGAAAGACTGTCCCCTAGAGCCTTCCGGGAGAGCGGGGCTCTGCCAACACCTTGATTTCGCACTTCTAGCCCCCAGAACTGCGACTGAATAAGTACGTTCCTGCTCTTGGAAGCCACCAAGTTTGTGGCTAGTTGTTATGGAAGCTCTAGGAAACATACACTGTGCCTCATCGGCTTTCCTCCTGGAAGTGGGTCAGGTAGATAGTGTCCATCCCCATTTTACAAGGGGGAAACTAAGCTTGGATGATTTGCTCCCTGGGAGATGACACAGCTGATATTTCAACTCGGAAGGCTGCATGCCTGACCACTATGATAATACCCCACTTAGCACCTGGCTAGAATACAGTCCACCGTACCTCCTGCTATCAGTTCCGTGAAGCCTTTTCTGGCCAACCCATTGCCTGCTTTGTCTAGTACTATACCTGTTGCCTATTTCTGATGTGGCATGTCTTACACTGTATCATAATTAAAACAAATTATGTGTCTGTTTTTCCTAAGTGACTCTACAGTCTCTGAAGAGACTACGTCAGGTTCATAGTTTGTTTGTTTTTTTTCCAGTGCTGGATTATAAGACTTGCCTAGAAAATGTTCGTTGAATGAATGCCTGCCCTTGGAAATGAATAAATGGTGGTCAGAGATGAAAACAAGTTCCCTTCTGAATCCAGGAGCCCAAGCTCCAGGTTAGCCCAATGCCTTCTGATCCTGAGTACATGAATTTAATAAGAATCTCTCTTCTGGTACCGAAGGAGCAGAAAACCTGGCGATGGCCACACCCAGAGACCCGCCCAGAAGATTTTCACAAGCATGGTGAAAATACATGGTGATACTGAGTGGTCAGTATCAGTGGCACGCCTTACATTGGTCAGTGAACTAACTGTCCTCTAGACATGCTTCCTGCACCTACCAACATGGGACACAGACACCAACATGAGCTTGTCTTTTGAATGCAGACTGCCTTAAACAGGTGCACACTATCCAAGTCCCAGTGGAGTCTAAGACAGAATACCACTGAAAGTAGAAATCTAGGGGATCATTTGATTTTTCACCCAAAGGGGAACTCATTGATCATTATTCTTTTTACTATGTTTGGATCTCATTGGTGTCCTTTGGTTTTCCCACCTCAGGCCTTCAGTGTTTTCAGGTTACTTGTTCACACATGGCAAACATGTATTTTTGGAGACCTCTGACCAAAGGCTGAATAAGAATGCCATGCTTCCCTGTCCACCTCTTTACTCAGGAATACACATCTGCTAGTCTTCCAGTGGAAGTTATGCCCCTTTGTTGTGGTTGGGGGCAGATTAAAGCAAACAGTAGTTGTTGGGGAACAAAACCACATCCTCCCCACACCCTGTCATTCTCTACTGATTCTGTCCTGATATGTAGAATGATATTAAACGTAGTCACAACACTACTGTGAGCTTCCCATAATTGTGAAGAAAGACAACCACTTTTTAATGATACAACATGATGCATCTGGGTAAGTACTAATATAAAATTTGACATCTAGAAGGATGCCAGGATGGCAATTCTGATAACCTTTCCCTGCAAGTGAATGAGAGAGAGGTCTCTCAA